TAAAATATTTTAAATTGTAATATTTCACAATAGTTCTGTTTTTACTGCATTTTCATAAGAGACAATGAAAGTGCTTTCAGTGCTCTAGCACTGCCATTGCATTATTATTGAGTACCGGTACTGTGTGCTCTTGCTGGGTCAGGTTGATATAAGTGGAGCCTGACTCTGCCTGTAACAAATCATAATGATGCTAAACGAATGTTCAGGGTGTGTTTTGTCTTAATGTATGGCTGCTTTGCCTCAAGAGCTCCGAGGCTTTTGTAATAAGCTCTGCTAGCTTGAAATCTATCCTGGAGGGCACAACACCGCAAGTCAGCACTAATCGGGGAGAGATGTATAGCTGTCAGTCAACTGGATACCGTCAGGTTCTACTCTACCCATGGTCACAATAAAATTGCGCGGCATCTTGATGCAACACACTGTTTAACCCCTGAAACCTGAAATTGCCCACCTCTGGTAAGCTCTTATAACAGTGTAAACACAGAGATGCTTATCTCGCTGCAGCTACTGATGGCTTTAACTGTCTCCAGGAGTCCATTTAAGCATCTTTCGGCCCATCTCACTGATTACATTTCCCTGCACTACGGCTTCCTGTCATGCTGGACGGACTTAAGAAATATTAATGGGCTCCATTGGGTAGATTGCTTTTGTGGGAGAGCAGGGGGTCTGCTCCAAACTGTCACTCTGGCTAATTTCATTGCCTGGCCTTTTAGCCCATGGCAATGACAGAGCCTTGGCCAGAATGCTGTTGTGTGTATGTGTGTGGTTTTGTGTAGCAGAGCAACTGCTCCCTGGTCTCCCTCAGACCCCACCCTCCATATGCCTTAATGGAATCAGTCTGCCAGAAGAGAGTTCATTCGCTTCAGATTGCATTTAAAAAAAATGAAATACTTGTCCGAAATGGTTGATGTTTCTGTTTTTAGAATTACAAGAAACTTCACAAATTGGCTTTGATATCATAGTTATTCAAACATGTTATTCATATATAATACAATTCATAGCAATCAATATCTTATATAAAATAATTAGGGCTGACAAGCAATTAAATTTTTAAATCTAATTAATTACATGATGTGCCGATTAATTCATCGCAAATTAATCGCACATCAAACTTGGCTGAGAAATTACCCCCAAAAGATAATGTCATTGTTGTGTTAAATGAGAAGGCATCAAATATATATTACAAAAAGTAGTTTAAGAAAGAAATGTTTTATTTGATTCAGCATAGCATTTATTACACACACGGTTTGGCCAAGTTTTTTTGTTTGTTTTTCAGAAGCTGCATCTGAATTGGTATTTAGATATGTTTACAGACAAAAAAAAATTGGTTACCAACATTCTTTAAAATATATTTTATGTTCTTAAAAAAGAAAGAAAATCATACAGGTTTGAAACAACTTGATGGCGAGTAAATGTACCGAATTTTTACTTTTGGGCAAACTATCCCCAAAATATAAAATTATTTTTCTTGAATGAAGTGATACTCTAAATAAGAAACTAAAACTGCCAGTGGGTGGCGGTAAATGTCTAAAGTCATTGAATCATTCATTCATTCATTCGATTCGTTCAAACGGCTGATTCTTTCAGGGATGAAGTAAATGGCTCTCTTTATGAATGGGCCATTGAATAATTCGTTCACCCAATTGATTCGCTCAAAATGCGGATTCATTCAGAAACTAAACTCCACTGTGTGTTTGGAGATTCACAGCAGTTCTGCTCTGGCTTTACAGGTAATATTTTCATTGGCAAAATTGAGCAAAAACAGACAATATTGTGTCTAAAATATAACACAATATCACCTTATTATTAACTTTAAAATAATCATATAGGGGTATTTTTCCCCTGATATCTTGAATTTTAGGGGGATTCTAACTGCATTCTATAGGTTACATCACGCAGTGAGTTGTTGCCGTCTTCCACCAATTAACTGTATAAAATGTAAGATGACCTACGCAGATCTGGGGCGGGGTGGGTGCATTAAATGCCTTAAATAATTTTATTTGCATTATTTTTCCATATCTAATTAACTAAAAAATAACACTTTAAATCGACAGCCCTAAAAATAAAATACAATTATTTTATTAGAGATGGACAGGGAAAAGTGGCTGGAATAGAAATACAGAAATAGGAAAAGTGCATCCGAAAGGGATCCAAGGACAACTTCGGTGATTTATAAGCAAAGTGATCTAGATGTGTTGCATCACTGCAAACTACTCGCTTCTATTTTAGAGACAAACAAAACTTAGGCTGTACCCAAAAGTAGTTCAAAAAGTACTGCTTATGCTGGGTAGACAGCTTACAAAGTTTTGAAACCCAGCCTTAGTCTGGCTTTGTCATATTTTTTCTGCGTTCAGAGCGGAGCTGTAGATAATAGGCATGAACATTTCTATGGCACGCTCTCACTCCTGTCACAGTTCTCCTGAACACTATCACACATACATACCATCCAGATATCAGGCAGCACTGGTTTGCTCCACAACTAATCAGATTTGGCAACGAGTGTAGATTCTCACTTCATCTTACACCCAAGCTAACAAGGTTTAGTCCATCTACAGTGCTTGAAGGCTGATGCATCCATACCTGAGTTGGGTCAGAGCAGTGGGAATGCACTGATGAGCACTTCAGGCTTGTTATGGAGAGAGAGAGAGAGAGAGAGGAGAGGCTACCGAGGTCAAGAGAGAGGGAGAGATGCACTTTTTCTGACAGCACAGAGGGAAAGTGATTTCAAGTTGACATAAAAAGCAGGAAAAGCTGCCATATATAAAGCCTCTCTAGGCATATCAGGTTTGTATCGGTGGAGTTGCTAATTAAAAAAGTAGGCTCATGTTTTGCTTAGGCTGCACTTTGAGAAGTTGCTGCATTCATATTCTGCAGATGGGTCAGGAGGGCGTGAAGGTTCCCTGGCTCAGTCCTCCACCGCTGTGGGGAGACAGATGTCTCATAGACACGCTCTGAATACAGTTACAGCTCGATCACTCTGTCTCACATTCTCTATCCTCTCATAGTTTTACATGCTGTTTCTCCTCTGGTCGGTACAATATTGCATTTGTCTGGTCTATTCTTTCTTCACTTCTGTCAAATATCCCTGCAGTAAGAGCTGGTTTCAGTAGGAGGCTGAAGGTGTGTTTTTTTTTTTTTTTTTTTTTTTTTGCACTTGAAATGAGTTCTGTTCTCAGCCAGAGATTGTACTAAGAATCATTCTCATTCTCTGAACAAACATGTCTTTAGCATTCCATTGACAGCCGCAATTGAAATCATAGCTATCACATTTGAGATAATGATATGTATCGCGATATATAAACTTTAAAAGTGATTCAAAAACTAAAAACAATTTTGATCTTGAAAAGACTTAATTATAAATATTTATTTTTTTTATAAAGTTTTGCATAAAATATTTGATTTTGAGGTTTCATATTTGGGAAAAAAAAGATAATTATGCATAATATACATATTATAGTACATTTAGTTGTATTTGAATAATAAATATATTACACACACACACACAACCACAGTAGTACAATAGAAACAACACACTAAGTAAAATACAGTCCAATATACCGTGAAAATTTTAAAGGAATTTTCTCTATTGATATTTCACTGGTGTTATGCACATTTTTAAAGTATTCATTGCATTTTGTCATGTTTTAGGGTTAAAGGAAACTTAACTGAAAAGGTACTGGTAATTTTCTGCCGGGACGTTATCAGTTTTTCTCTGGGGGTTTTTCTTACAGCGTACTTGAAAAGTTCTACTAGTTGGCAAATTTCTGCCAGTTTATGGTTTCAACTGGTGTATCACCCACCCCTATGTTTTTTTTTTCATATATTTTTTTCTAGATAATGATGATGAGCAACATGGAAATCGCTTCCAAGTTGCTCCTATTATGATGTGCTATATTTAGTTGTATTTGCATACAGTATACTTCTGATTTAAAGACTGCTGTTTTTTAAAGTGACAGCTAAGCCAGATGAAAGGAAACATGGTGTCAAGAGAAAGTACTCACTACCAAACGCTTGTGTTGTGAATTGAATCAGTAAGGATCAGTACGCACGTAGCCTCTGCCCATACACCCACACTTTTAATGGATGTTGCTTGTTGTAAACACATCCCGTAATTGAATGTAACGACTTATCTAAAAGCCATTGTTTGGGGTGGCTATTTATCTGTCAAGAGCGCTAATACACTGTTCAGATTTTGTTTTGATAGAAAGATTTAACTCTCCACACATCAAATGACGTTTTGAAAAGGGGTCCAGGGACCACAAGAGGATTCTAGGGGGGTCTGTTGAAAATCAGAGAGAATTCCTCTGAAGCAATGCATTTTGTGAAAAGCTCTTTACAAATACATTGAAATCGGAATTGAATCGAATATTAAATATTTAAAAATGTTTCTAGTCTGGTTTGTGTATATAACATCACTGTTATATGGTGTTTTATTTATGTGTGTGTGCACTGGATATTTACATGAAAGGAGATTCACTATGAACTATGACAGATGGTATGGCCTTATTCTGTGTCTGTCCTCTCTGTCCCATGGGTCCACTGGACCTGATATCAGTTATCTTTTCTCAGTCCAGCTATCAGTAGGCATGCAAGTGCTCTAAGGTAAATCTGGCTGTGTAATAATGGTTCACTTTTGCCATCTAGTGGTTTTTTAAATTTATTTTTTACCTTCAATATGGGAGAAAACAAAATTCATAATGCTGGATGCAAGCCACTATTCCACTCAATCATTATTTGAATCATATATATAATATAACACAGCCTAATATTTAAAGAAAAGCCTGTTAAGAGTTCCCTCCAGTTAAACTCTGTAAATATGTCTGTTTCATTGTGACCCAAGTTGAATTGTGCCACCTGGTGGATGGTTTAGTGTCTGTATGCAATTTAGGTTTCCGTGATATCTTATGCTCAAGTTCACAAGCTCTGCTCTTTGCTTTGTGACAAAGACGCATTCATTTGATTTACAGTTAATCTTGTGTTCTTCTCTTTCTTTATTTCAGAAGGAGCTGAGTCTTCCCAGAAGAGGCAGTTTGTGAGTACTTGAGAATTTCTTTTTTTCTGAATGAGGATAGCGAAACCTGGTCTATTGTGAATAGTCTGACCTTGGGAAATTGTATACAAAATTCTAAGCGAACATGATGCTATGCCCATTAAGGTGTGTAGTTCTGGTCATCTCTTTTAATTGCACTTTAGTATGTACTGTAAGTTACATAAATCTCTTCCATACTGCTTAAAGAATGCAGGGAAGACTGGAATTCTTTGTTGTCGTACATTGTGTGTACACACAATTACTAACTAATTTAGTTATTGTGTATTATTGATGTTGCAGATACTCCAGTCATTTTGCTTTGCTTCTGATAAATTCAAAGTCACAGATCTGCATCTGATTATTAAATGTGACAAATGTCCGGTACAATATAACACTTCTGGTATTGTGAGATCAGCAGTAGGTATTAGCATGCTCTGTCACGTCACGTGACATTAATTTACTGTAAATTAACCTTTTTCTACTTTTTTCTACTGCTCCTTCAGAAGCCTTTTTTTTTTTAAATTGACCATTGAACCACATGCACAGGATTGTGGATTATCCGACACAGTAAAGGATACATCTATTTTGCCTTCAAAAATAGACCAGATGGATGCATCTTAGTAGTCAGGATGTAATGCAGTCATTTATTTTAGACTTGCATTAATGTCTTCCTACGTGTGTGGATATTGCCTGAAAAGGCAGGTTGTTTAATGTTTCAGACACTGCTGTATCAGTTGGGTTAGCATTCTTAATCACAGTGTCAACACTGTTTACTGCACATGGACTGGGTCATGGGGGTCATAGGTGACTGGTAGGGCAGTGACAGACAGATTACTGCAGGCCTTTTCCGACAGCTGGGCTTTTCGGTTCCTTTTCTAGCACACCTATCTATATCTTCCTTTCTGTTTATTTTTAACCCACTGCCTGCAAAGAATGTGCTCTTTATACAGCCAATCATACGAAGGCGCATTATCAGCATCATGAGAATAGGGGTGAGCAGACAAAAAATGTTGGTGTAATATAGAGTGCTGCAAAGGTTGTGTGTGGGCATACTGTTGTTGTGTTCTTTCTTATGCACACAGGCTAAGGGTTTTGTTTTTCTCATCTTTGTATAGCTCAGAGTGACTGGCAGGGGCAGGAAGAATGCTGGCTATTATGAGGGTTCACCGAGTTTGTTCCACCCGCCACGGGATTACAGGACTTAATCAAATCAAGCCTTCTATTCAGCCACACTGTTTGTCCGTGAAATCTCATTTTAGCCCTCATTCATTTAGGGTTGTGGTACTTTCTGACTCCCCCTCTCGTATCTCCTTCCTTTTCATCTCACCTTTTCACTTTCCGGTGTGGGAACCCTGTAAAGGGGAAATGAAAATTCAATCATTTTTTTACTCACCCTCATGTCAATCAAAACCTTTATTATTTACTTTTTTAAGTGGAACCCAAAAGGAGATGTTTAACAGAATGTTCATGCTGCTTTTGTTCATACAACTAAAGCAACTTTTTGCAAACATTTGTCAATCTCAGAGAAAAACAAAGCAGACAAGCACCATAAGATTACCCATTCCATCACCGAACGCCCAGTAGGCTTATCTATAAAAACATAAAAATAAATCTAAACTATATATGTATATTAATAATAATAACAACAACTTTAATAAACGATACAAACGTTTAACACTGTTGAATGAAATCTTTAACAAAGCTCAAAATGATTTTTTTCATACTTCATGCATGTACAATATAATGTTGTGATGTCTAAATTCACTTTAATATTCAGAATATTTTTTTATTACAATGTTATGTATTATTTTTAATTTATTTAGTTAAAATGTGGTAGAGTTTAATATGTAAAATGACTCATTGATATTGGTACCAAAAATGTAGTATCAGTGCATCCCTACTTTTATGGTAGTTCTGTGACCGTAGTATTTATTTATGTCATTTTTGGAGCTTGACACTGACAGTATTCCCACTCATTTTCATTGTATAAAAAAGAATGACACCGGTATTGTGCAAATATCTCCTTTTGTGTTCCACAGAAAATAGCAAGTCATATGGATTTGGAGAGAAATTAGGGTAAAGCATAAGCAAAGTTTCATGTTTAAGTGATCTGTCCCTTTGAGCATACTCACACAGAGCTGTAGATCATGTGTCAGTGTAATTTGCTTTCCTGTAGCGGTGTGTGTCAGTGTTGAACCAGTCAGGCTTAACTCTCGTGCTGGTGATTCTCTGCTCTTTGATCCTGCCTATTGTCTCCTTGAGGCTACATTTAGCCAAAAGCATTCGTCTGGGAACAGTTGATAGGACACTGATGTGCTCTCGCTTCTCAGAACTGTGTGTATGTGTGTATACAGAGATGGACCGGTGTGAGGTAGGGGCAACAGCTGCACCTCCCCCAGGGTCTTGTGATATCATAAGAATGCCCTCTCCCACATTACTCGATGTGTTTCCGTGTCTCTGACTGTCTTGCCAACATATGCACCCACTAGAAGTAGAGCTCAGAGGAGAGTGACGCTTCTAATTTGTTTAGAATTTGGATTGTTACACTCTTAACATTCTCTCTTCAGACTGATGTTATGGTACTTCACAGTGCTCAGAAAGACAGACACTCCCGGACACAACTTCAGAGGACTGTCGTTTAACAACAAATAACGTCATGACAGAAGTGGATACTCGCTCTGGCCGCGGACAAGCTAAGACTTGAAGGCACATTGTGATTTGACCGTTGATGTTTGTGATAAGGAGATAAAGGAAATATGGCTGGAATTGCTGAAACTTTCACAATCAGAGTTGGTAGTTTGGTAACAGACTTTTACACTACGCCATGTAGTTCTTTTGCGACCTGTCGCTGGACTCTTCCGAGTTGCACCTCTGAGTAAAGGCTTTTTTTTAGCTTGTCCATCTATTATACTCATGAACATGAAGAAAAGAAAGGAAAGACTTGGAGCCCCTAACCTGCATTTACAGTAAGAGTTTATTTAGATCACAAGTATGAGCTAAGGCTGCACGATTTGAGGAAAAATGTAATTAAAGTATACACAATTTGGCAAAACATTGCGATTTTATTTCAATATGACTATAATATATTAATAGTGCTTATTATGTTATGCTATAATTTTTACTAAATAAATATACAAAAAAATAAGAATATTACTTTAATAATGTATCTGTAAAATTACAATACTAATATTTATGAAACTCTTTATTTTTTATTTTTAAACATTAAACCATCAAGCTTTTATTTCTAGGGTTGGGAATCGAAAATCGATTCCAATTCTGGAATCGAATACTTGAGGTCAGGAATCGGATACTTGTTATAAAATTAAAACTTCGATTCCTCTTATCGATTCCTTTGTGAGTATTTCAATATGACTTTAAACAATTCAAGCGTGAGACGACTCTGTTTTCTGTTTTCATGTGTAACAGTATATTGGATCCGTGCAGCTCTTAAAGTGACAGCAGCCTAATATTCCTGCTGCGTCTCTATAACAACACTAATCAAAAATTCACTAATTTTTGACTGAATAACTTTTGTAACTATATTTGTAATGTATATTTTACTTATAAAGTGCAGTGTTATTTTACATTTGATTACAGTTTCTGTACTTGAATACCTGCAAATCTTAAAACACTTTTGCGATTGCAAATTTTTTACTTGATTTTTTTTTTTACTTTTTCTTTTTTAATTACTGTGTTTACTTGCCTTTTAATAATGCTTGAAATTTATATTAGTTAGGCTAGTTGTTTTTCTGTGGTATTTTTAAACCATAGGCAAAATTCCTTTTTTTTCATGATGTGAATGATACATGATATATGATTTGATTTTTATATGATTTATGATATATGATTTTTTTTTTACCAATTTGCAATTTGAAAATCGCTATTTCCCGATTTTGGTTTTATTTCGAATATTCGTGCAGCCCTAGAATGAGCCAACAAATGTTGCTTGTATTTGTCTATAGAACTTTTATTATTTCCTTGTTTTTAAACTTTTACTTGAGTTCAGCTGACTGTCACTCATTTTTGCAATGAATGAACTCCATCGGTTGAGGTTTCTAAACATGACCACAGCATTAGCTTTACACAAACAGACCGCAGACTCTGACCTCCTTGGCAGTTAAGCACTGGGTTTCCTCTTTTTCTGTCTCAGTCTGTCTGGGAACCTGATACCTGCTTTCCCCTCATGCTCTGAGTGGTGGCTGAGTTTCTAGCTCTCGTCTCGTTGATTGACAGCCACAGTGCGTAGCTCAGTTTACAGCCTCAAAAACACAACCCAGCAGAACACCAGAAAGACTCAGGGAAATATAAGTGAAGAGAAGTCATCACTCAGCAGAGAGTGTGTGCGTTTGTGCATGATTCAGTCATGTCAAATGCCAGCTTATGCCCAGTCAGCTTCTCTTACTTCATTCTGAGAGAACATCTGTGTCTTGGCTGGCTGAAGCAGCTCCCTGTTGCATGAAAACCAAGTTTTAGTCTAGCATTGTGATTAAAGAAAAGTGAGATGGTCCATACACTTACAACTCTAGAGTGACTCCCCCTTAATACTTATAACTTAGTTTGTATCCCTTTAGTTTTTCTAACTTTAAGCTCTGTTCACACTGAGATGTCAAAACAAAACAAAATGCATCTGTATGGATTCCAGAAAAAACCTTGTCATCCATCCATTTTCCAAACCGCTTGTCCTCTGTAGGGTCTCGGGGGTGCTGGAGCCTATTCCAGTATCTCCGGCAGGCTGGGGAAAAAAGTGCAAGTATTTATTTGTTCGTTCATTCATTGATTTGTTCACTTGGTTATTTAGGCTGAATAGGTGCAGTTTTTTATATAATATTACATATACATATATATATATATATATATATATATATATAAGAAAATATATAAGATATTTTTTTCCACAGAAAAAAATATGACTTTTCTGTGTCTGGAACTGCTATTGATATTGTTGATCTTTGAATACAAAGACCATAAAAATGCGTTATCAGCAAACAGACCAAAAGGAAGTG